TTCTGTAGGAAAGATGTGAAACTTGATAGGGTTCAGAAAAGATTTACAAGGCTGTTGCCAGGGTTGGAGGGTTTGAGCTATAGGGAGAGGCTGAATAGGCTGGGGCTATTTTCCCTGCAATGTCAGAGGCTGAGGGGTGACCTTATAGAGGTTTATAAAATCATGAGGGGCTTGGATAGGATGAATAGTCAAGGTCTTTTCCCCAGGTTAGGGGAGTCCAAAATTAGACAGCATAGGTTTAAGGTGAGAGGGGAAAGATTTAAAAGGGACCTAAGGGGCAACTTTTTCACACAGAGAATGGTGCGTATATGGAATAAGCTGCCAGAGGAAGTGGTGGAGGCTGGTACAATTATAACATTTAAAAGGCATCTGGATAGGTACATGAGGAGGAAGGGTTTAGAGGGATATGGGCCAAATGCTGGTAAATGCTGGACTAGACTAATTTAGGATATCTGGTCAGCATGAACAAGTTGGACCGAAAGGGCTGTTTCCGACTCTATGACTCTATTACTTTCTTCTTGCGGAGACTCGTAGCCATGTCCATGTTACCTTAAGCAAGTACTCTCCTGGACAGCCTCTCACCTGCACCCTCTCAAACTTGACTTCAACCAAACCTCTCTGCCCCTATCCTAACTCCCATTTACCATTACCTGGCCAACAGTGGTTCACATGCCACCAACACCTTGATTTTTAATATACTCATCCTGGTGTTCAAACCTCACCTTGGCCTCACTGCTTGCCAGTACCTGTCTCCTCCAGCCGACAACCCTTCAAAGACACCTGCACTCTTCTAAACCTGCATCCCCGGTTTTAATACTTGCACCATTGGAGGTTGTGCCTTCAGCTACTTTGGCTCTTGTTAACCTCTCTGCTTCTCTCCTCCTTCCTTGAAACATCTCTCGGGCCAAGATTTTTGTGTAATATAAATGCAAGTTGCTGTTGTGGCAGTTACCAAACTTCAGAATCAATTGGATGCATAAAAGGGAGAGAAAAATATCATCTTGGTTACACATTTTAATCTTGCAGCACTTTGGCGTGACAAAGTTAAGCTGTTGGCAACTGGGCTACA